ACGACTTCCCACTAGAACCTGCCTACCTGAAGAGTCCAAAACTAGGACGGAGGAAACAGCTGCCCAGTACTCCACTGCTGGTTTTCCAATGGTTCTCTAACCCGTGTAAGCTCATCATGAAATCCTGTAACTTTTAGAACTCTTACATAATTCTGTATTTTCTTTTGTTTCTATGTGCATCGTAACCACAACTCACTCCATTAAACTATTCGTCGTATTGGTGTAAATGTAGAACTTGGCCACTGTGGTAGAATGTAATTCCATATTAGATATGTTTATTCTAAATATCTTATATTGATCATGCAGTATTATTAACAACTGGACGACGAGGTTTTGAGTGTAGATTATTGCCACTCATAATCATATCAATTTAGTCACACACCCGCACAATTTGTCTTATATGTAGTTTCTTTCTGTCTATCTCTCCAAATTCCCTTTGTTGTCTGTTGATACTTTCCATATCTCCACTATCATAGGTGTTGTGTCATTCCGATTACACGTGTGTGGTGTCGAATCGATAAACAAAGCTTCAGTGATTAATCTCCCTATCTCCCCCTCCAACTAACTGTGTTACTTTGTAATACTCTCACCAGCAACGAAACCTTCGAATCCCTAAGACCATCTCGCTCAAATATACCACGACTTTACGGACTCCCGGAAGTATACAAGAAGGGTGTCCCTTTTCGACCGATCCTCGACATGACCAATTCTCCATATCACCGCACAGCCCAATGGTTAGCAGACCTACTAGAACCAATCAGAAGACGAGTTTCCCGCCACACATTTCGAAATTCATTCGACTTTATCAACTCAATCAAAAACATCGACGTATCCAACAAGACCATGATTTCATTAGATGTCACATCACTATTCACAAACTTTCCACTGACTGAAACAATATGCTATGTATGCGAACTTATTCACTCCAAAGGAATAAACATCGGTATACCCACCGAGCGTCTTAAAGAAGGCACACTGAGGTGTACCCTGAATGTCCAATTCTCTTTTAATAACCAAATATATCGCCAAAAGGATGTTATAGTTATGTGCTCACCACTAGGCCCTTTGTTTGCAGATTTCTTCATGGCAAAACTCGAAAACACATGCCTGAAGAAAATGATCGATACCTTCGAAATCTATAAGATACGTCGACGACACTTTCATTATCGTCAACAATGAAGAAAATCTAGACGACATCTTGAAGTCGTCTAATAACTCCCCTCCCCCCGCGATTCAGTTCACACTGGAGAAAGAGTCCAACTCCGAAACATCCTTTCTTGACGTCCAACTAACAAGATGAGAACAGGATGGAACACTGAAAATATCTATCTACAGAAAGTCGACGTGGAACGGACAGCTTACTAACTTTCACAATTGGGTACCTCTATACACCAAACGAAACCTGATCCATTCACTCAGCTACAGAGTTCGCAGAATTTGCACCCCGGATACCATAGAAGATGAACTGGACAATCTCAAGAGAATCCTCGTAGAGAATTGTTATCCAGAACGATTTATTGCAAAAGCTATGAATCCTAGACCACGAAAGCTGCCCATGCTTAGCGTCCCGAGAAAACTACTCTACATGAACCTTCATTTCAATGGAGATACATCTGCGGAAACACTAAAATATCAACTGTCGCGCTCACTTAAGAAAACCTTATTCGCAGCTGAACTACGAATAACCCTCTCCACGAAACCTATGATTTGTATGAACGTGAAGGATGAGCTACCACTGCTGACCTTATCAATATGTATCTATCAATTCACTTGCTCGTGTGGAGCCAGGTATGTCGGCCGTACCCAGCGTTCGCTTTCCAAGCGTATCACCGAACACTTACTAACATGGTTTTACAAAGGAGAAAAATGATGCCGCCGCAGCTCCATCTTAGAACATCTGATAGAATCCGTACACCAAGCTACACCCCAAACAAACTTCAAAGTCGTTAACAGAGAAAGAAGTAATCTTCCTAAAGGTGTACGAATCAGACTTCTTCAAACTGCAGAAGCAATGGCGATTCACTTGCTAGGTCCTGAACTCCGCATACAGAAGAAGTTCCTTCAATCACTACACTTGCAATGGACGTAATCTGTCTTATTACCCGACTAGTAAATTCTACCTAATCCTTTTTTCTCTCAGTCTTCATTAGTATTATTCTGCCTTCTCAATTGTAACATCTTACATTTTCAACCTTCTTGTTCTCTACCTTCACCCGATTTAATTTCTACACCTCACTACCACTGTTACTGACTTGACCAACGCACAATTTCTAGTCATTTGTGTCACGTCATCCAACTTAATTGCTCAATTTCAGTTCTAATTTAAATGGCATTATTATCTACCCCACTTCTACTTAGTCTCTACCAGTAATTACCTCTGTTGCTACCCTGACCTAAGTTGAAACATTTTTAGTCAATTATATTACGTCATCTAACTTACTAACTAACTCAATCTTGTTTTAGTTGCTGTCTGATTAACCTTGTTTCTATATTGGATCATTCTTGTATTACCTGATCAATTATCTAAACTTGACAAACCTCATGCACACACACACACACACACACACAGATAATTATATATAAATGTGCTGTACATCTATGTGAATGAATTCGCCGAAAAGAGTCTTCGCTTTTCAAATTCCAGGTCTAGTAAAATTTTCATGCTCCCATTATCTAGTTGACCCCGATCGAATAGTTTGACCTACATAAATGACACCACTAACAGTCATTACATGCATGGTATTTGGTAAATTATATTACTTTTCTTAATTGGATTTATTTGGTCCTTAAGCCACAAAGTTTATCTCTGAGATAGTCGGTTGTTTGGTTTATGTGCCATCCTAATTCCAGCGTCACTGAGAATTCTACGTAAGGCCTCTGATGTCTCTTCTTTATACAGTAGTGCTACGGAGAGGCTTTGAATTCTATATTATTTTCGTCACTTTTATTGCTAATCTCAGTTATTCTATGGTTCTTCATCTATTTCTGAATAAATTCTGGTGGGTAGTTAGTTAGTTATTCACTAGTAATACTTCCTTTATTGACTTGATTTCGTCATTTAAATCTTCTGGCGTACTAGTTAGCCTGTTGGTCCGATTTATGATACAGACTTTTAACTAAACCCATCTTTACCACCGATTCTGGATGGGATGAATTAAACTCTAAATACTTTGCATTAGAGTGTGTCGGTTTCTTTCCTATAAATGCTAGCCTGTATCTAACCACCCCCAACCCATCTTTTTTCGTTTTATTCTACAGTCTAGTCTGGTATGACCAACTCACCTTGTTCGTTTTCTAACTTTATATGTGTAAGATACTGAGGGATATGTTCAGATTTCAACACAATGATGGAATGTGCCATCCACCATAACCTACGAGCAGCAGGATTATACGTTCTAAGAGCCTTATGTTCCCAACTATTCATAAATATATCTGCTCCTATTGGGGATCCCATTGTCACCTCATTTCCTCGTTTATAAAGTTTATTTTTTATTTATTTAAACGCAGAAAAAACTTGGTACAAATATGGAACCAAGAAAGATGCGCCACACAATTTTATTTCATTTTTTGTGTGAAGACTGAAATACTGCCCGGGAACCCAGATCGAAGCAGGTGGTTTTATTAAGGGACCACCACCCCCCGGAGCCTTTCACTTGGAGTCTAATCCTCAAGGCAGCAGAGCAGCGTCAGGAGCTGCATTCTCATGGTTTCCGGTAACCCATATGGGTTCATACGCCATTTGATCCGATAGGATTCTGGAGTCCATGTACCCCATGATAACTGCTTTTAGTTTAACCGCTATCCAAACAACCTTCCTGACATGGTAGAACCTGCAGGGACATGAGCTCCAGCCAGTCCAGCTTCTTGGGACATTACGGTATTCAAGCCCTACCACCACGACAAGGTGGTAGCAGTTGTCAGTCGGGAGTTTATTTTGGAATTTGAATAAAGTCGAGGTTAGACAACATAACTGAACGCCTAATGTGATTTCATCAACCGACAGAAGAGCTTAGTCCTACTTCTGAGTTCAGGATCAATGTTCATTTCATTACTAATTACCTCCAGAGTTGTATTAATGCGGGAATATCAGTATATAGACTGGTTATGTGAAAACTAATAATTTTTTTTCGTCTTTTTCTAATTGAATTTCCTCTAGTCCACCTTATTATGTAACTGTACCAAGCTTATTCAACTTCCTTGATATGTTAGTAAATGTTTTTTTAGACAACACATGTTCACTATAACTAGGTGAGCAGGTTGAAGATGAGGCAGTAACTCATCGAAGAAGACAATGTGAAATGGTCGCGCTATGTTATGAATTGGTAAAAGTTATGATTCATGGGCCATTGGATTCGGTCCCAGTGGCTCAATGATCCACGAAGGTCCTGGGTTCGAACTACTACTTTACTTTACTTCGGCTATCTCCTACGGGAGGATGAGCCGGCTTCATGAACATCTCGAATCATCGCTGTCCATGCGCGGCGATCTGATGCAATGTTTTGCGACAGGGTTATCCAATTCTTGTTCCACAGACGGAGTCCGTAGACGGTTTGTAGCCCCAGGCACTCCATATCAGCCTTGACTGTACCAAGCCATGTTTTCAGCTGTCCACCCCTGCGACATCGCCAAGATGGAAATGGCGAGGGATTTAGAACTGATTTGAAAAGATCGTCATCTGGTCGGCGCAGAACATGGCCAAACCACCGAAGGCGACGTTGTTGGACCAGTACTGGAATTTGGTTGATGTTGTAGCATCGACGACGCACTTCTTCGCTGGAGAGTTTGTCCTGCCAACGAACATGCAGAATGTACCTGAGGCACCAATGGTCTACTACCTCTGAGTTCGAAGCCTGTGGTGTGGGTGCGTACTCCTGGAGAGTCCCAAACTAGGACGGTGGAAACAGCTGTCCAGTACTCCATTGCTGGTTTTCTAACTGATGTCAAACCCATGATGAAATTCTCCATCCAATCAAATATAATCCCTACAAAACCAATACTTGCACAGCTAAGTGATGAATGAATTCACCGCCGAAAAGATACTCTTCGCTGAACCACGTGTTTTGTTTTCACTAACGTCTAGATGGGGACGTGGGGCGTCAGATTATTCATGTTAACAGTTTGTTATCCTGCAAAATACTACACGCCCACTACACACACATGCTCTCTCCCTACTACGGTCTACAGTGGAAGCAAAAAAAACAAAAGAAAAAACAAATGACTCATAGATATTGTGAGAATCCTTAAATGCTAACACTGTATTCCACAATTATTCCAAAAATTTTTCTTTGACTAGACAAAATGCAAAAATGCGTGTTTGTCTGTATGCGTAAGATAAAATGCATAATCAGAAGGGTGTACATAATAACTTTGAATAACAAAAATGGTGACAGCATAAAGAGAGCGAGAGAAACAAAGACGGGGGGTGGATAAATGAACAAAACGGTTATGAAAAATATCTTTAAAAAGGCCTACGTGTAATGAGTGCCAATCGCATCATATCATTTTCCAGCTTCATTTGTACTAACAGTTCATTCATTTGATCAAGTTTACATTCAAGTTGAGCAAATTTGTAAAGTAATTCACTATGAGACCAGTTTAATTCAGACATCACAGATGATAAGCGACTATCGATACACTTACTTAATGCTTCAATTGGTATATGTGGTGAATGAGCAGTTGTATGCGCAGTATCTTCTAGCTTCTCTGTATCAACGGTATTAGAATGACGACTAGACGTATCTATCGGTATCGGCGGAAAACTTTTATTATCTTTTAATATTGAATCATACGGATGACTTGTAAGCGATTTCAATGATGATGATGATGCTAATGACTTCTGGTTTATGCTATCAACAGTCACTGATTCAGATGTATCACTGCTTATCAGTAAACTTTGATCTAACAATGATCGATTTGAACTAATAATACTGGTGAGTGATTCTGATTCTGGTTGATCGAATTCATGCAGCATTACTGCCCATCTTGTTTGTGATTTAGACTGTTCTGTTTTTCCCGTTGTTTCTGTTGTTGTTGATGTTGCCATTCTATTGGTTAATTCACCTAAAGCTTGACGAATTTGACCATTATTACAGGTTAGATGAGTACTATTCATTGATGTACTGTACGAGTTTTCATTGGTTATTTGAGAAGTTGAAGTGGATAAATTGCATAACACCGCCTCCTTTGATGTATTATTATTATTATAAGTAGTAGTATTAAAGTTTACGTCGTTTAGATCAGGTCGTAAAGCGGATGAAAATGAAAGTAGACGAATAGAATTATTTCCTAATCCAATAGAGACACAATGAATTGGTGTAGACATATTCTGCACATTATATAACCATACTTCACCATTTACTAAACCAGTTGCAAGAAAATGCGTTCTTGAGGCGACATCGATACTTAGATAACCGTGTTGTTCATCCACTGGTGATAAACATTTGACAGGTTTTTGTTGTTGTTGTTGTTGCTTCTGTTGACCTGATGTCGACAGTATATCCCATACACGTAGATTTAAATCTGGTAATCCTGCACTATACAATAATTGATCATTAGTCGATGAAAATGCAATGCTTATACAATATTTATAACTTTCTTTTAATATACTGATTTTATTCATACTTGTACCAAAAGATTTAACATCCCAATAATTTAAAATATAATTGTTTGTATCACCAATAACTGGCCATTGTATATTCCATAAGATTATAGAACCATTAGAATAACCACAGCATAAAAGATTACTATTAAATTTAGAAGTTTTTAACATACAACATTCAGGTAGGGAAACATCACAACCTCTGACCTTTGAATATTGACAAGGGAATGGTAATACAAAGTTTTTACACCCACCATTTGTACTAATTTTGTCCGAAGCTGCTAGGAATAATACAATAGAGCCATTATTATATCCAGCAGCAATAATACGATCATTTAACGCCCAACTAATACACTTTGGTTGTAATTCATTAGGTAATATATTAAATGGATGTAGATTAGTACAGCGTAATTGACAACGTAGTGTTATTTGCTTATTTCCACAATTATAAACATTTATCAAACCTGTATTAATGCCAACAGCCAGATATCTGCCTGAACTTCTAGGAAAACCGATACACGTGGCTGTAAAATTTTCAGATTGTACACTCAATGTCAGTATATCAGAAGTTGTCTTTGCATAGTCGTGATTTTTGCTAAACAATAATTGTTGAAGGTAAACAGATCCACCAGATTTATCAATAACAGCTAGCTTAAATGATCGAGGATTCCACTGGATTGATTGAATCGGATTGGATGATATTGGTTGAGGTTTGTATGTCGACAGATTAGAAGCAGAAAATTCTTGATTACTACTAGTAGGCAAAGAATTTACGAATGAAGATTTGCCTTGAGGTAGAAACCAAAAGTGAACTGAAGAGTCTTGTACTACAGCAAGACATGAAAGGTGGTCATTTGTAAATGAATCCCTAAAGGAAGTAGTAAAGGATAGAAAATATTTTCTAAGAAACAATACTCAAATTACTGATAATGAATACGTTAAATCAATAGTTCCACTAAATTCTGATTAAGTAAGTGCATTAAGTGTATAAGTGTGCAAAAGTATCTTCGAATCTTGATATAAAAAACAAACATCTTAAAATACTAACAAACCGGCTGAAGAGGTAGGCTGGAAACAAAAACACAACTCTAAGTGAACATAGAGAAGATGGAGGTGATGAAGACAACCAATGGACCGCACCAATCACTATCAACGGGGGAGCTTCAACAGAAGTTATCTCCTTTACTTATCTAGGCAGCCAGCATTGTTTCAACTACGAGCGGAACGGATAAAAATGTCAAAGCCAACCAGTCAGTCAGTCAGATTCGGAAAGGCAAGATACGCCTACATCAACCTGAAACCAGTTTGGGAATCTTCTGCTCCACTCATCATAAGGAACAAGATTCGCATTTTCAACACCAATGTCAAGTCGGTCCGTCTATACTGGTCAGAAACTTGGCCGGCATGTCACGTAAAGGATTCCCAACAGGTTGCAGACTTTCATCAACAGCTGTCTTCACTTCATAGTGAAGATTAAATGGTCACCAAGAATTAGTAAACAGACACTGTAGGAACAAACCAACGAAGAGCCCATCACTCAGCAAATATATAGGAGAAAAATGGAGACGGAACGAGCATACATTAAGGGTACCGTCGAATGAAATCGCGCGCCAGGCCATTGGTCGGGTGGAATCCAAGTGGGAAGCAACGAGTGGGACGTCAGTGCAAGGGTGACATGGACCAGGTCGTGTGAGGAAGTGATGAGAGATTATGGAGAGTCATGGACCCAGCTGAAGAGGATGGTAGAAAATAGAACAAAGTCGAGATGTGTTGTTGAGGTCCTATGTTTCACCCGGAACCCAAAGGAATGATAATAAAATACTTAGATATTATATACCAGAAAATAAGCAATTTACGGACAAAAATTAAATGGACGCTTGATGCTATGAGTTAATCAATGTTATTTCATTACATGATGGCAGAACAGATTATTTAGGTTCCTTGGACTATCTTTATGGATAAACCGATAGATTCATGGTATTTTCTTCAGTGTAAATAAAACAGCTGAGTTTTCAACGAAATCTATCAGTCTAAGTTGTTGTACTTCATGAAAGAATAAGTACAAGGAGAATAATGAGTCTGATAGATCTGGGAGTTCACATAAAGGGTAAATGTATCTGTGTCGTTGAGAATGATTTGAGTCATGCCACGAACAGTTCATAGCTATTGATTCTTAGTGGCTTGAGGAACCTAGCCAAGCAATATACATCTAGTTAAGTGACTCAAATGGCGAAGTTCAACAATAGCGTTCCAGGAGTGAGAACAATCCAATCACCTCAAACGCATGCTAGTCGTTGACTAACGGCACCTGTCATTATCATAGCTGGAATATCAACGCCATTCACCAACTAAGGAGCAAATTTCATCCAGATCACATTTCTTAAATGCTGTTTGGACAATGTGTTAATAGCTCGTTAGGGTTAGGATTAGGGTTAACGCGAGTATTGGGGTTAGGGTTAGGATCAGGGACAGATTTAAAGTTGATGGCATTTACTTTAATTTGTTTTATCATCTACATTTCCCAGGTAAGTAGTCGTCAGTCCTCTTACTGGAAACCACAGTAATTCAACCGACGTCTTTTGGGGAGGACTGAACAACTGGATAAGAGAGATAAACGATTCACTAAAACAGCTCATCAGTAGTCATCTCGATGAACACGTGTGTAGAAACTAATCCAACTTAGTAACTTATACTTCTCTTCATAACTGGGACGCGTTTTTAAGTCATGTCAGAGAAAGATACCCTGTTTAATGCGTCTTAATGCATTTTCTTGTAAATATACGTCATTTTCTGTGTAAAAATTCTTAATTTTTCTGATAGGTCAGCTGAAGGTCCCTTGTGCGTTCGGATCACTTGGGACGCTATTGTTTAACTATGCCACTCAAACTAACAGTCAGAGACTGTATGACTTGATTTGAACCCCACCTAACTCATTTTTAACTTTATCTAATATGAGGTAACACAAGGGCTGCAACGTGTTTATCATTCTCAGAGAAGCTGGATAGCTGTACACCACAGCTAGAATAATAGCTACTGTATGAGTTTGTTATTATCATAGATGGATCAAATTCGGTATATATAATAATAATAATATCCGGTTCCAGTGCCACCAAAAGAAAACGGCATATGTCCTGTCAAAGTCGACTAAGATGTCGTATTATAATCTCCAACTAAGTAAAGCAAAGCCCACATAGCTACTCCATTGACCAGTTCCTTCAGGCTATTACTTACAGAAGGGGCATTACCGATTGACTGGGGGAATGCAATAGTCACCCATACTTACAAGAAGAGATTTAGACGCTGTCCCTTAAAAATACAGACCTATTACACTCTCAGAAGCATTTTCATTTTAATTAAGTGGAAGGGATAATCAGGAAAGTAATCACGGATAATTTAGAAACGACTTTTTATCCAACGCATAACAGAGTTTTCGGTAAGAGTTATTTTTAACATCTGACACACTTAACACCAAGGAATTGATAGGTGAAGTCCACGGATAACAAAAAACTCATGACCGTCTTCACAGACTTTAGAACGTTTTTGATAAAGTGCTTCGCACAAGATTGCTTATGAAACTGGAACTTTTCAGCAACCCCATATCTTGAGTCTAACTTACACTTCAGCAAAGTGGAATTTAAAGTCACAAGTGTTTTCCAAAACGATAACTGACTGAAAAACCCATGCAGAACATTGCACATACGTGCTACAACTCAATTCACCACTGTTCACAAGAGAAGGTAGGAAAAGGCAACAGAGGTATTGTGATACTAGGATGTGAAATGAATTTCAAACATGACTGAAGTCTCAGTTGTCATCAGAGGAAGACAACACTATGCACCAAGTCATCTACCACGCCTACAAACAACTAGCAATATGAGCAGGGCATAGATTTAGGAGACACCATGCCAGTCAGTAACTCTTAATATCTAGCCATCAATCAACCACGTCCCGTGCTCAATAAGCACGTTTTGAGCCATGTATGTCTAATCTTTGGTGGGTTGAGAACCATGGAAACACAGGTGAAGTTGCACTGATCCAAGATAAAAATTTGGAGGAAATGCAATGTTTTGCCTCCGAAAATCCCAAACCCTGCCTCATATGAAGCAGACACTTAAGGCTCGTTAACAAATAAATTATAAGCATAGTATGTATGGTTACCAGGAGGACTCGCGCTCCTCCAGATAATAAAATCTTCACCTTTTTAGTTACTTTACAAAAATATCTCAATACACACACACGTAACATTAGCCAGATTTCAGATTTATTGGTTGAGGATAGAAGGCTTGAAGCCTATGTTAATCCTTTTCCAGTAAATTTTTGTGGTTGTTCAAGCCCCTCTAGAACGAATCAGTTGAGGTTGCAGAAAACACCTTTTCAGGGAGTCGGTTCCAAGAATTTATGACTCGATGTGAGAACCAGTACTCGACAGCAATATGATTTCCTCTTGGCTTTCCAACTCTCCTGCTATGTCCTCTAAGGTTTCCGGACCTGATGGCAAGGAAAAGAGAGAATAGGTCAGATCCGTAGTCATTATTTGAAATTTTAAACATTGTGATTAAATCTGCTCTCTGTCTACGGTATGACAGGGAGAAGAGATTTAAACTGTCTAGTCTTTCCTCGTATGATAAGTTAGTCATGCCGTGAACCATACGTGTTGCTTTCCTTTGAACACTTCCTGGAATGTGAGTCCCCCCCTTAGACAAGGACTGGAGGTCTCAATAGAGTTTTCCAGTCTTGACCTCACCAGAGGTGTATATAAGGAGGTGAACATATCCCTGGGGATTCTAGCCGCGTCATATAGCTTGTATTTTCAGTAAGAAAAGCATTACACATATGCATTATGAAACTGATTAGCTCAAATAATTCCTATAAGATTTTACTATTCTTAATACATTAATCAAAATACTTACATAGGAGTCCTGATAGCCATGTGAATCGACCGTACGCCGAAGTTTGTTCAAGCGCAACTAGCATGCACCTTTAAGCACTGGCTGAGTTGCCCGCGATTGGCTAGGTTGACAGTATATTCGAACATACAGCAGCGGCACTTCTGAGTTCCAGTTAACCTATACTTTCGGCTTATTTCGTATATATACTAAAATAATCGAATTCCAATACTTAATAGCCAAGTTATTTATTTCTTATATATTCCAATATCGTTTTTACTAGCTAGTGTAGACCAATTTGATTTCTTTGTGCTCACTTCTTGATTGTGAGATAAAGGTTCCTGGAGTTCGGTAAACTTCTGCTTAGTTTGTCCCACCACTCGACTGTCGTAGCTTTGGTTGACTCCCAAAGGGAGTGGCGCTGGGATTAATTATATGCTGTTTGTCGTGTGCGGTGTGTTGAGACCGTGTTGCCATTGTGAATTTAGTTGGTCCTTTCACCAGTTAGTCCTCCTGTATCGTCGATAAAAGAAAAGAGATAATAACTGCAGTAATATTAGATATAATTAGTGTGGGCTATTCAGACCAAAAGATTGGAAAAGAAAACGTAAGAACAGGCAGCTAATTAAATTTGAAGTTGATATATATATATATATATATATATATATATATATATATATATATATATATATATATATATATATATATATATATATATATATGCATATATGCATGTGCCTAATATCAACAAGAATAATAAGTGTAAGTGTAGTGGTTAGAGCAGTCATGAGAGTAAGACAAGGGGGAATATAAAGAAGTAAAACAAAGAGTTTAGATATCTACCGATTAATAGACACCTACCCATTAATAGTGTATGGGATTTTAAGGGGACAAGCCGTTTGGACGCAGTCCTTGTATCGTCGCATGATTGTCCAGCCTTCGCTTAAAGCTGTCCACAGACAGTGCCGTAGCTGCATCTGTCGATAAGGAGTTCCAGGGACAGAAAACCCTCAGTGAAAAGAAGTGGGAGCACACTCGAGTCTCTGCCCTCCGGTGGGATATCCTTCTGGGATTCCCACGAGGAAGCCCACACCTACTCAACGTCAGAACACCTTTGTTTCGGTGGTTTTGGTCATTTGTAATCCTGTAGGATGCAATGAAGTACTCCTAATCCGATGGTGGCTAAGAGTGAAGAGACCTAATTTCTTTAGCCCTTCATCATACGGTTTGTTCTGGAGACCCATCACTCTTTTTGTCGCCCGCCTTTGGACTCTTTCCAAGAGGTTAGCGTCTTTTCTAAGCAATGAGGGTGCAATGATATTGTTCACTTCAAGGTACGGTCTGATGTGTGTTTTGTACAACTTCAGAGAGAGCTCAGGAGTGAGTGCACCTAACTGTCCATGTGTAAAGTGGCCTCATATGCCCTCACTACTTGTGTCTGTTTTCTCCGTTACAACTAAGCCTAAGTCACATTGTGCAGGACAGGCTTTCATTGCACGGGATGTAACTTGCATTCTGTGGCCTACAGGTGCGCAATTTCACTGCTTTGCACTTTTTCAGGTTGAAAGTCATACCGTTGGCCACCGCCCAGTCTTCCAGAAGTTTAGGTCTACCTGCAGCCTATCTGAGTCCTCCGAACACTTTACTGCTCTCCAACTGTTAACGTGTTCAGCGTAGAGAAGAGTTAGGCAAATTAGACGGCATGGTAGATCATTGATAAAAATCAAAAGCATCAGTGGCCCTAGGATAATTCCCTGCGACACTCCTGATGACGGGCTGTGCCAGGCTGATCGAACTCGATTGATCTTGGTTCAGAACTTCCCTTCATCTGGGTAGACCTTCAACCATGACAGGAGCGACTCACCTCTACCTGTCTGACTCATTTTGTGCAGGAGAATATGATAGTGGACTGAGTCAAATGCCTTCTCAAAGTTTAGGAAAATCATATGGATTGGAATATTCACACCCCACCACGATGTCCAATCGCCCCAAGCTGATAGTAGGCTTGTTACACAGAATCTACCTTTCCCGAAACCCTGTTGTGCTTCATGGAGTATCTTAGTCCTATCGAGGTGCTCTGTGATTTGATCATCATTAATACTCTCCGGTACTTTTGATGCCACTGGGAGTAGGAACACTGGTCTATAACTGATGGCATTTTGCATGTCCTCACCCTTGAAGATTCGAGAAAGGATGGCTCTTTTCCACTCCCTTGGCAGTTTCACTGAATCCATCGAGTGTTGTAACAAGTCTCATAAGGGCCTACAGAGAGCTTCGGTGCGCTGTTTCGGAACAAAAGGCCTGAGGTCGTGATAAACTGGGGAATTTCTAAGTGTGGGTCTCTGTAGCTTCCCTACTACTATTTCCGGATTGGTCTGAAGAGTAGTCACTATCTTTTGTTCTGCTGAATTAGTGGTGCCGCCATTTCGGTCCGTATCAGTAATAGCAAAATTTCTGTTCTACTGCATGGCGAAGACTAATGTGAATGTTTAAACAATCTGCAGACTAGTGAGGTATTATAATAACAATAATTTATATTCGTATAAACCGGTAAGATTACAAGAAATGCAAACCAAATTTACAGGCGCGATCTGTTATCTTATGAATTACAATTGTCAGCGTTCAGGTCTTACTACACTGGACCTTACACTGTCCTTGGAAGACTTTCGGGAACTATGCGTAATAACCAACACGAAATACCAGAACACAAATTGGTGACTCAAGAACCGTTTGTTCATGCACCAATGCAGAGCCAACCATTAGGTCATGGTACACAAAGCCTAAGAATAAATGTCATAACAATAAATCACAATAATACTTCTAATAGTTTTCCTTTGCTTCCAACGAACAGCAAACGATGAAATGATGACTGATGGATTGATGACTCTCGCGAAAATATGGGAAGGTTGGGTCTGAGCAAACAACCATGAATTGATCGTTCAATCTTCAACTACATTGGCACTCCGCGGCAAAAGCCGATCCATTCTTTTTCTCCATCACGACCAATACACGTTGACTTGGATGCCATTGCGAGAACCTGGGTCACACGGACAGAGCTGAAATGGAAAACAAACAGAAAAGCCAACACACCACAAGCATACCCACAGCACAATCTCACACATCGATGACGACGTACGCCTTCCAGTTAAACACATCCTCTTGATATCCTGCAACACAATCGCCACTCGCTAGAATGATTCTTGCAGAACGCAACGTGATCATAGCAGCACCTCATGATACTCTTCGCACATCATCTTATCTATTCACTATCAATTACCACTGCGATCGCCTCAGTTCTAGTAACGGTGACGTATGCAAGCCTCAGTCGTCTACAGTCTCGCTCCCCGGCGTGTGGGACCACAGTCTAAATAGAAACATTCATTCTCAATCATTGATTCCACAGCTAATCCTCATCCCGGTGTGCATGTCATTCTCAGCAATAGCCTAGCCTCCCAGAGTATACGACCCATCTGGTGTCTCTGACATCAATCAATCCATTCACGGATGTGGAAGACTCGAAACAACTTCAGAAGTAATCACGACGAAAATTTTAACAAAATTATGCAATAACAACAAGGTACGAAAACAACAAGTAAACACAATGAATCCAAAAACACCAATTGATATGACACACCACACGTATATACAAACAGTACAAATAACCTCGCAGATCATGTCTTGATGGGATTCCATTGAAGAATCGCAAGACTTACACCAGTACGCCTGAAACCCTTCACAGGTTGACGATTGTAAGTTGTGGAATGTCCGGACACAAACAAGATTAACCAACATTTACAATAACTGGAACCCACACAAATATTTAACACAAATATATGTACAATCAATACTTCAAACGTTGTCGATTCTGGTTTGACGAACTACTTTTTATTTTTTTATTTTTTATTATAGCTTGATTCCACACCATATTTTTGGTACAAATATGGAATTTTCAGCATGGATATCAGTAGCCCAAAATCCGCAGGCCGACCATAGTTATCAGGTGTGCTTCGGCAAGGGCTCGAACCCGGGACCATGTGCATGGTCGGCGAGAGTCCTAACCACTGTGCCATCGACGCACACACCCTTGAAGAACTGTAGGACTTACAGTGGTACGCCTACATTCCTTCTCAGGTTGATGCCCTAGGTTGGAAAATCGTCGAAGAGTTTATTTGATGACTTCCTTCTATCAGCTGTATCCTCAAATCTGAACGGCAACACGCTCATGTCATTGTATCGTAGAATATAGATGACTAACAAACACACGACATATCTCATCAACCAAGTATAGAAACAGAGTAATTTACACCAAAGATAATAACATTCAAATAGTAATTTGAAACTTGAAAAGCCTTTATTCGTGCAAGTCAGTTTAACAATTACTCTCTCGTACACAGTTGGCTTATCCCCATTAAACTGACTGTCAATCACGTCTCATAAACCGTTAATGCCCAGCTCTCGCTACGCTCGGGCCCACGCTGTTCTTCGAAGATTTCAGAAACGCTTAGTTATAACGGACGAAAAAACCAAAACACCGATCTGCCGCTTGATATTTCTTTATTGTTACACCAACATATAAAAAGAATAAGTGAACTAAGGTCTGAAAACAAATATTACAATAATAAATCATTGTATTACTTCTGACGATGTTTCACTCTTCTTTCTGAACAGCGACCGATGAGACGATGACTGTCGTATTGATGCCTCCGCGAAAATTGGGGAAGTTGATTTTGAGCAAACAACCAAGAATTGATCGTTCAATCTTCAACTCCATTGACACTGACCATTAACTTTCGTCCTTTCAAACCGACTGATACTAGCATAGTCATAGTATAAGACACGTGAGTTCATGGACATCCCTTTCATTGTGGATGACAACGCCAACGACGACTGATTGATACCATTTGATGAACTGCAAAATTTGGGCTACCGATATCGCATGCTGAAAATTCCATACTTGTACCAAAAATACAGTGTGGAATCAAGCTGTAAATCAAAAAAAAAAAAACTTAGCGGTGTGTCGGAAGCTGTTGTTATTAGACCTTTAGAAGGTTGTCTAACCGCAGTATTACCTCCAGTGCCATTTTTTATGACTAGCTCCAGTTAAGAATTAACATCTGTTGATAGG